AATTGGAAAGCTGTCGTTGCGGGTGAAAATATAAATTGGAACAATTGACTGGTAAGATCAAGCTTCAACGTGTCAAAATTGGTGTAAAAACCAATTGAAATAATTAGAGAAAAGATTATCGGAAAGAAATTCTGAGGATAAAATGTTGTGAAGCATAACGATTAGGATAAGAGGATAAAGGGTTAGTTACTGATTGTTACTCCAGCTAAGATAATAAATAGGGAAAAACAATTGATTAGTGATACATTATTAATAATGTTATGTGAGTTCAGTTTCTTGTTTAACCTGAGTTGTTGTCATCATAGAAACACTCTTCAATTTCAATGTCCAATTGGTAAGCAAGAGTCATGAATTTAAGTTTTCAACAGCATTGATTGGAGTTTTATCGTTTCCTTGTTCTGAAGAGATGGAAAGATTAAAGCCTAAGGATATCCAATGATTGTTAAAGAAAAATGTTGAGATGCAAAAATCTATTTATAATATTATACTGATAGGAATGCATCGACAAGCCAGGAAACCACTCTAATGTACGATTTGCCCCATTGATATAAAAAGAGTTGGATTTAGGTTCGACTCTTGAAAGGTGAGGTGATTGAATCAAGAATTGTGAGAATCGTTTGAGCACCGATAATCAGACCACCAGATATGATTTAGTTAGACTATTGAACAATCAACTTGACATGAAACACAGAATAAGCAGATTTCTTTTCCAAAGATGAACACATTTATTTTTCATCCGAGAATGGCTGTATAGAGAGATGAAAAAAGTATAAATTAGATTGGAAATGGTTTTACGTTTGACGTTAATGGTAGCTGATAAAAAAGATGGTAATTTGATTCCTTAAAATCAAAAAATTTTCCTTTAAGAAATTAAATTATCTCCATTGTCCGTAGGACAAGAATTTTGAATGTTTAAATTGAAAGTTAAACATACTCGTTTTGATTGCCATTCAATTTGGCATTGCTTCCTCGTACAACAGATTGTCAATTAGTTTACAATTCAAGGTAATCGGGAATCGTATGAACAGCT